TCCTTATGGTCTACAACAACCATGCAAAAGGGCGCGTGGCATCACTTATGGACACCTTTGGGACTGAGGACCACCTAGAAATGGGCCCAAAATACGACTGAATATTGGGTCCAAACACGAGCGCTGGTACAAGGTACACGATTGACCTGAGAACAAACCACCACCATGCCAACATTACCTCCCCTGAGTAGTCTTCACATCACCACCACATAGAGCCATGGCTACATCCAGGAAAGCAATGGCCATCATCTCCAAATATCACTAAATGGCATCGCTAAAATAGCCAAATTTCAAGGGCCACGGTGGGAACCATTCATGGCATCTATTTTTCTGAACCATGCACTGCAGGGCAGTGGACTATCTCCACTACCACCCAGGACATGTCTCGTGAAAAGTGCTCCACGTTTTCTGGCAATAAACAATTTTGAATATTTTCACTTCACCACATTGCAACATTGCCGATTTCCTACCCGACGACGGAAAGCGCCTCCTCAAGCTCCAACAGCAGGCACTGCTCCAGACCCCAGCATGCCAAACACTGCAGCGTGGCGACCTCTACCGAGTCTGACAAGAAATTTGAACTGACAACCCTTGTCACTCCAAACAACAGCCATTTCCTTCACTGAAAGACTCGAATTTCACTAGCAGCAAAGCTCTGCAGAAGTGCAAAATATATTGAACAAATCTGGATTTGTGCGATCGAAGCACGATATTTTTGCGTCCTGAAACTGGCCGTACGTCGACCACCACGTGACATAGCAGGTCGACGGATTTGATCCAGTTGATCGACAATCAAGATCAGAATCAAAATCTGGACGACGAAGGCTGATCAGCAACACAATTTTTGCGTACATTTACCCAGGTTGCTGGAGTTCGCAGCATGCAGCGAGTCGTGGGTTTTCCTCAGGTTCGGTGACGAGCGAGCGTAAGTCTGCTTGTTGTAATTTTCTTGTCGAGCAACTATTTGTCTCCAAAAGTTTGACACTCTCACCAGTGACAATGCAGGGCTTGTTGACCACGCAGTGTTTGGTCTCAGCGCTTGTCCATCGACCTGGCAAGGATAATATTCTGACAATCAGCTCGTAATGAAAATTCGATTTCTAGGACTCGGATGACTATGCTCAAAACACCGATGATGTGTCTACAGAGCCGATCATGTTATCAGGTGGCAGGAATATAGATCAGGTGGGAATGGAGACATTATGTCGATAGAAATCAACAGTATTCTCTTTGTCGAGTTATGTCGCTCCGGCAACAGATGTCATCCATGCGCGCAACACAAAATTACTGTTGACATCCTCAAATAATGCACGAAACACACGATCAACTTACCATATACACGAAATAGCCGTGGATGCATTTCCGTAAGCAAGCAGGTCGATCTCTCCGGAGTGCACCTGAAAAGCATGTGCTCAAACCTGTGGCGATTACGTGGTCAAAATGTCAAATGAGCTGGCTGCAAAACAGGTTGCAGCTAGATCCCTTATAGTGAAATACACGGCATCGTGCCTCTTCATGGTTCACTCAAGCAGCATGCCATCATACATCATAGCATCGTAAAATCATGTTGCTGATCAGCTTGATCGTCCAGATTTTGATTCGGATCTTGATTGTCGATCAACTCGATCAAACCCGTCGATCTGCTATGTCACGCGGTGGTCGCGCACGGCCAGTTTCAGGACGCAAAAATATCGTGCTTCGATCGCACAAATTGAGATTTGTTCAATATTTTTTGGACTTCTGCAGAATTTGCTGCTAGTGAAATTCGAGCCGTTCAGGGAAGAAAATGGTTGTTGTTTGGAGTGACAAGGATTGTCAGTTCAAATTTCTTGTCAGACTCGGTAGAGGTGACCACGCTGCAGTGTTTGGCATGCTGGGGTCTGGAGCGGTGCCTGGTGTTGGAGCTTGAGGAGGCCCTTTTTGTCGTCGGGTAGGAAATTGGCAATGTTGCAATGTGGTGAAGTGAAAATATTCAAAATTGTTTATTTCCAGAAAACGTGGAACACTTTTGACGAGACATGTCCTGGATCGTAGTGGAGATAGTCCTGGTGCTGAATCGTAACCAGCTCAAACTCTAGCGTCCACAAAGCACTCACAAATCAACAACAAAACACTCTTTCTTGATGTTATACATAGTTTCATACAACAATGGATGAAAAGAAGAAGAAGAGGGAAGAGAAAGTCATAGTTACAGTACTCGAACAGTAGTCAGCAGCAGCAGCTCACGACGCCATCAGGACCCGAAGAGGATGAAATGAGTAGAAACCACTGCCTTTATACCAGGGCCAGGCACTGGCGCCTAGCGACAGCCAATCAGAGAAGCTCATGTGACTACTATATCTAGTACAAAGAGTAATGAGTAATGATGACATCATCAGCATAAATGGGAAAAGATACGAAAAGGTAAGACATGCAATTGTGGGATTCGAACCGGAAACAGTCATGAAAGGTCAAGGAATTAGCTGTAACTTCTATCAAGGCCTCACTGAGTGTCCCATGCATTGCCACTACTACTACTACTACTAAAGTCCACTGTCCTGCAGTGCATGATTCAGATAAATAGACGCCGTAAATGGTTCCCACTATGGCCGTTGAAGTTTGCCTGTTTTAGCGATGCAATTAAGTGATATTTGGATATGATGGCCATTGCTTTCCTGGATGTAGCCATGGCTCTATGTGGTGGTGATGTGAAGACTTCTCAGGTGAGGTAATGTTGGCATGGTGGTGGTTTGGTCTTAGCTCAATCATGTACGCTGTACCAGCGCTCGCTTTTGGACCCAATATTCAGTCGTATTTTGGGCCGATTTCGAGGTGGTCCCCAGTTTCAAGGTGTCCGTAAGTTATGCAACGAGCCCTTTTGCATGGTTGTTGTAGACCCCAAAGGAAACCTACTTGCAAAATTTCAGCGAAATCGGAGAGATGGCCCAGCCCAGCTTTTCTAGTTTTCTCAGACATGCTCTCTTTTAAAGCAAGCATGGGTGCAGTAAGGGGTATGGCATGTTGAAAACTCAACTTCTGCCATCATCCCATCCACAAGGGTACAAAGAACAAGTAGGTTCAAGGACGAAATATATTAGTGACACGAGAGACGGAGAGAAAGACGAATGACTACACAAGGAAAGAGAGATCGTGAGTGAGAGGAAGTGCTAGACAAAGGGCTTGATAGCTATGGCAAATATGGGCGCGCAAGCAGCTACCCAGGCCAACGATACAAAAGGTGAGTACGCGAGGAAGCATGTGGTGCATACACGCCGACAGGAAGAGGTTGTAGAAGGAGCCAATGTACGGAAGGAGTCACCTAACAATAAAGTAGCCAGTCCATGCGATGACATGGCATGAGATCAGAAACCGGATAGAAAATGAGAGAGGGAGGGGAAAGAGAAAGACATACAGAGATAAGTAGAGAGATAGATAGATAGATAGATAGATAGAGAGAGAGAGAGAGAGAGAGAGAGAGAGAGAGAGAGAGAGAGAGAGAGAGAGAGAGAGAGAGAGAGAGAGAGAGAGAGAGAGAGAGAAGAGAGAGAGAGAGAGACAGACAGAAAAAGAGATTGAGACTGAGATAGAGGTACAGACAGAGACAGGAACAGAGACAGAGACGGGGACAGAGATGGAGACGGAGACGGAGACGGAGATAGTGACAAAGACATAGACAGAGTCAAAGCCACAGACAGAGTCAAAAGCAGAAAAAGAATTAAAGGCAGAGACAAAGACAAAGTTAGAAAAAGACAGAGACAAGACAGAGACAGACAGAGAGAGAGAGACAGAGCCCGAGGGCTGCGGTAAGACTAGGGGATATAGAGACATAGACAAATAGACAAGCAGACAGACAGGCACATAGACAAACCTGTATACAGATAGATTGATGGCAGATAGACAGACGGACAGATGGAAGGACGGAAAACGAAATAGTGGTAGCGAGCTCCGCGATTATATTAAAGTATGGTACGCTGGACTTATGGTGTGATCTAGATTGCAGTCATGAACCAGTCAAGTTTCAAGTCAAGTCAGTGGGAAATGTGGCAGCTCCAGTGTGGGAGCAACCATCTTCCTCATAAAGATATCTGGTTTTGATGAATTTTACGTGATATTTGGTCACCGGAAACAAGAGTGGATTATAGTGAACAGCGAGTTAACACAAAATTTCGTTGGCTAACCATCAAAACAATCATATTTATTAGGAGACACACTTGTGCACAGCCTTGGCGAGATAATGGGGAGGGGGAGGGTTTTGACATTGACATAAAACAAGACTGCTATGGGATTGCAGGGCTAAAATAGCCAGTGAATAGGCCCTGATGTATCCCACATTTATATCTCAGAGACATTTCTATCAGTTTGAATAACATGCATCATGACCTGGGTAAGAACTAAGCATAGAGAGGATTCTGAGTCGGCTTGAATGTGTGCATGTGTGTGCGTGCGTGTGTGTGTGTGCGTGCGTGCGCGCGCGTGTGTGTGTGTGTGTGTGTGTGTGCGTGCGCGCGCACATACCCATGTGCGTGTGCGTGTTAGTGTGTGTGTGTGTGTCTGTGAGTGTGTGTGTGTGTGTGTGTGTGTGTGTGTGTGTGTGTGTGTGTGTGTGTGTGCGTGTGTGTGTATGTGGGTGGTCAGTCATTGCGTAAACAACTGGCTATTGTCACACATGACTGATCACGTGACCACACTATGTACCTGACTGATCATGTGACCACACTATGCACCTAACTGATCATGGGACCACTTTATGCACGTGACTGATCACGTGACCACACTATGTACCTGGCTGATCATGTGACCACACTATGTACCTGACGGATCACGTGACCACACTATGTACCTGACGGATCACGTGACCACACTATGTACCTGACGGATCACGTGAACACACTATGTACCTGACGGATCACGTGACCACACTATATACCTGACTGATCACGTGACCACACTATACACCTGACTGAGTGTTTTTTTCGGTTTTTCTTCCCTGCTCTGTATATCTGTGCTGTTTTCTTTTCTAGGAGGAACAAAGAACAATATATAATGTGAGTGATCATTTTATTGATAACAATTTCATGGATTCGCTTGATCATACTATTTCACATCATTTTGAGTGTTTTGGCAAATTTCAAATCTGTTGGTATACGGAATACGCCTGGACTTGCTCATACACAGGCAAAATGACCTTCCAATTTGGTCGAGGCCAACCACTTGTTTCAATACATGCTCATGTGCTTTTGCCTGCGGAAGCAAAGTTGGAATTTAAATAATTTTTCTTTGATATACTTTCGATGGACTCACCTGGAAAAGAAACTGGGTTTCAAATGGACGTCGGAGAATATTGTGACGTGGAGAGATATTAACCTTTATCCTCTCGTTGTTCCCATAAGATAGCTACAAAGTGATAAGATAGCTATTTCGAAGTATGAGTAAAACGAGATCCGCTCTCCTGTCGCACAACCAATGGCTTTGTTCCTGAACGTTTACTTGTCACATTCTTCAATGTTATCACGTGACTGCCAGAAAATCGATGACGAGCCGTAGGATATACTTTGAAGTATAGTCTTCAGGTGAACGTTAATAGTGTACGAAATACATTAAAATAACCTTTTTCAAGGATTGGGAGAACTTCAAATTTGAAGGACCAGTTGGGGAAGTGAACTGCCTGAAAAGAGAGAAAATGGCAGAACCACCAGGATTCAAGTCCAGGACCTTGCTTATCATGAGCAATGCTCTAACCATCTGAGCTATGGGACCAGACGAAAACTTGAAGATCACAACAAGTGCTATACAGTCAGACCTCTTTTAAGCACGATATTTACCCCCCCCCCCCCCCCCCCCCCCCCTGTGCATCATGCCACACAAATGCTGCTACCCGCGGTCAGGCTTCAGCCGCTCTGAACCTACCCCGAGCTACGTCTCGTTACGGCCTGAATGCTATTTCATTTTTGGCAGCAGACAGATGGAACATGCTTCCACCTGGATGTCGTCAAGCTAAGCCCCTTTCTGCATTTGTCTCAAGCACCAAGTCATTCCTAGGGTTCCCAGTAAAAAGGCAACGCCTGTTGGGAGTTCCCTAGTAAATAACAATTATACTACTACTACTACTACTACTACTACTACTACTACTACTACTACTACTACTACTACTACTACTACTACCTCGCTTAACTGCACACATCCGTTTTCCACGAAAATATCCGGATAGGCGAGGGAACCGGATAATCGAACACATGTACTGTATGTATTCATGGCATATGCTGTCGATTGGTAATGAGCGATTTTCTTCTGGATGGCGAGGGATCCGGATAAAAGAGGACCGGATAAGCGAAGTCCGACTGTATACGTCCCCGGCCTAACATTGGAATTTGAAGTTCTCTCGATCCTTTCAAAATTAACAGAGAGGTTGCGCGCAATCAAAAATTTGTAAGATCGCGATTGTCCGGGTTCGAGTAACGAAAGTTGTAACGAAGATCCGTCCAAACGCGACCGAAACAGGGCGGCAGATCTACGAAAAACATTTCGTAACATGGAGTACTAAAATACTGATATTTTACAACTCCCTGTCTTGACTCTCTGTACCCGAGATCGCGCCGTGTCGACCTACTGTCACGGACAGGCAAATCCAGTCGATTGACCGGGGCCGGCGCCCTCAGTGCTAGCAGAACGCTGTGTGCAGTGCACATGTTGATCCGATTCGACCTGCGCGCTGCATCGCATAAATGCATGTGTGTACCGCTTATCCATGGCTGCATGGCCAGCGCCCTGGGGCCGCTAGGCGTGCGACCGGACTTCCATGTCCACGACAGTACTACGAAAAAGTTCAAACGTTGTGGGCCTCACGATTTACGAATAATCGTTAGTTTTTTCGTGAACAATATTCGTTACGGCGCTACGAAATTTTGTTGGGCACAACCTCTCTAACAGAGTCGTTAAGATCCACGTTATTTCTGACGTGATGCGAAAGTTCAGCTCGCGGTATTTGGCTCGCCTGTCGAAAAACAACGAGAGTGACCTGAAGCTCACGTCGAAATTTGGAGTTTTACCCCAAATTTGACGTGAAATTGCGCGTTACGTCACAAATAATGTGCATCTTAACCTCTCTATTAACTTCCTTTTACCTCTGGCAGTACGTTCATGATTTACTGCAGTCGGCCCGCACCCCCCCCCCCCCCCAGAGAAAAAGACCCGAGTGCTATCAGTATGTGTGGCACGTGTTGTGAGATCTGATGGTTAGAGCATTGGTTATAACAAACAAGTACTTGTGCATGAGAAGTACTTCCTCCGGAAACAAAAACTTTGTGACTTTTTGAATTGACTTTTGAAGAAGTTACTGTGCTCAACAAAAGTGTTCTTTTGGAATAGAAACACTTCAACACATTCAATCCAATGAATCCACATATCTACAATATCTGCAGGATCGATTAGTGGGAGTAGAGTCTCAGTCTGGGTCGCCATCGCTCGACTGATCACCGCTGAAACCGTTCCATGTGGCAGGTCGATCGACGCAATGTTGTATGTAAAGGAGAAGTTTCTCAGCATCCCTGATCGTCTTCACTGTTACCTGAATGCCTTCTTCAACATCTCAGTGGAGACCATGGTAGCGCTGCAGCACTGGTACTCATTACCGCCTCCGCTCTCGCTCGAGGATGCCCCGGAACAACAAACACAGACAACGCCAAACATTTCATCTCCTCCGAGGGATATCATAGTCGTACCAGCACTTCCCGACTGCCTCGATCAGATCTCACCTTCTCCTTTGCGACCAAGGACACATCGTCGAGGCTGCTGGAAAAGGCGGGATCATCCACGTCGAGGTCTGGGCTCTGCAGTGACTGGACGACTTCTATTGAACTTGTTCATCTTGCTTTGATGCAAAGTGACGATTTCACATCTCTGTGTTTTGGAGTTTTGACATCTTGCCAACCTGTTCGCATGCAGACAGGCGTTTCGGGGATGGCGAATATTTCAAAACGCTAGCTGCTATTGCTATTCATTTTCCACCGTTCTTGCTCCTCGGTGTCATTGTCCTGCTCTGTCAAGTTTCGAACTAGATAATGGCTACGACGAGCAATGAGCGCAGTGCTTTTCTTCCCATAGCACCTGTGGACGAAAAATGAAGAAAACATGTTCGCTTGCTTTGTTTGCATCGTCAACACCTTTGCTCTGCGACGACTGTCGGCTCTCCAAAATATGAATCATGCATTCCTATGATTCCGAAATGTCATGCCATTGTTTCAGGCTGACAGAACCAGAGAGAGAGAGAGAGAGAGAGAGAGAGAGAGAGCGATATACATGTAACAGCAGCGAAAATTAGTGAAAAAGTCACGAAGGTTTTGTTTCCAGAGGAAGTATTCACAAGCTAACATCGATGACTGAGTCGATGACTGAGTGGATGACTGAGTCGATGACTGAGTGTGAAGAATGTGACACTTTGCTTATAATAAGATCTGGTTTGAATGAATTATAAAGTGATTTTGTCCACTGAAACTAGAGTGCATTATAGTGGACAGAGACATAGACAGAAAACTTGATAGAGACAGCGATAGAGACATTGATACAGACAGAGACAGTGACAGAGACAGTGACAGAGACAGTGACAGAGACAGTGACAGAGACAGTGACAGAGACAGCGACAGAGGATGAGACTGAGACATTGACAGGTACATTGACAGAGACTTATACAGAGTCAAAGGCCGAGACACAGACAGAAACAGACAGAGATGAGATATAAACAGACAGAAAGAGCGGAAGAGAGAGAGAGAGAGAGAGAGAGAGAGAGACAGACTGACAGAAATACAGACAGACAGACACACAGACGGACAGTCAGACAGACAGACAGACAGACAGACAGACACACAAAGACATATAGACAGACACACAGACGCACAAAATGGTTTCAGCGACCTCCACGATAACTGTAAAGAAAGGTTCGATGGACTTCCCGTGTGATGGGAGTCGTGAATCAGTCAAATTTCAAGTCAGGTCGCCGGGAAATGCGGGAACTCCAGTGTGGGTGCCACCAACCTCCTCATGAAGAGACCTGGTTTGTATGAATCATACGTAATCTTGTCAGCTGACGCCCGAGCTGAGAATTGTGGACAGCGGGTTAACACAAAAATTCCTTGGCTTACCATTAAAAAATATTTATCAAGAGACACATTCGGGCACAGCCTTGCAGAGATAATGTGGAGGGGATGGGGTGTAACATTGATATAAGGCAGCACTAACATGGAAATGCAGGGCTAAAATAGAAACTGAATAGGCACTGATGTATCCCACATTTATATCTCAAAGCTCAAAGCCATTCATATCAGTTTCAATAACATGCATCAAGATTATAGGTAAGAACAGAGAGAGGGTTCTGAGCTGGCTTGGATGTGTGTATGTGCGTGAGTGTGTTTGTGTTTGCGTGTGTGTATGTGTGTGTGTGTGTGTGTGTCCGCGACTGCTCACACTATACGGCGTTAAAGGTGGCTAGATCCAAGGCGCGTGCTTCGATATCCTCGGCTAGGGTAGACTGGATCAAGGCGAAGGCACAGGACGCCACAGACTCACGATTCAATGGAGCAGTTGTCTGGAAGAGCATCCATGACCTCCAGTGTTGTGCCCGGGGCCTCGCTCCCATGTGCACTTCCAACGTGCTAGATGAGAGCGGTACCATCTGCAGTTCACCAGAGGAGCAGAGCCACCGATGCCGAAGGTACTTTGACTGTGTCCTCAACGTCGCAAGTTCACGGAACAGCAATGCCCTGGAGGATATTCCGCAGCGGCAGGAGGCTGACCATCTTTCTGAGACACCGACTCTGCGTGAAGTTAGCCGCGCTTTCTCCCGGCTACGGAACGGCAAGTCAGCCTGACCCTCTGGCATCCTCCCTGAGATGGTGAAGAGTGGTGGCCCTGACCTCACCGCCAGGCTTGTGGAGCTGTTTTGCGATGTGTGGCATGCTGGGGTGGTCCCACAGGAGTGGGTGGACGCCATGTTGGTCCCCATCCCAAAGAAAGAGGGTTTATCTCGCTGTGATAAGTGGTGGCGCATCTCACTGCTGGATGTTGTGGGCAAGGTTCTGGCGAGAGTCATCCAGACTCGTCTTCAGTCCGTGGCTGCGGAATTTCTCCCAGAATCTCAGTGTGGCTTCAGGCATGGCCGTTCTTGCACAGATATGGATTTCAGTGCTCGGCAGTTCCTCGAGAAGACCATTGAGAACGACTGCAAAGGCTTCCTTGTATTTATAGACCTCAAGCCTATGATTCCGTGCCTCAAGATTGCCTGTGGCAAGTCTTATCCAGAGCGGGTGTCCCTGCTCCCATGCTTGCCGTGATCCGTTCCTTTCACACTGACATATCAGCGGTGGTTAGGGTAGAGAACACGTCAACTAACCCTATCCGCGTCACGAATGGTCTCTGCCAGGGGTGCACCATGGCACCTGTGCTGTTTAATTAACATCTTCACGTGGGCGGTGGTGACTGTGTGGCAGCGACGAGTCCGAGATCTACCCGGTGTTGGTTTTGAGTTCCGGCATTGTGATGGTGACAGTAACCTTTACCGCAAGCCTACCACGACGGATCCGGTTGCTATTGCCACTGAGTCACAGTTTGCAGACGACTCAGCACTTTTCCCGACAACTCATGCAGAGGCTGAGACAGTACTCACATTGTTTGACACGACCGCAGCTGAGTTTGGGCTTACAGTTAGCGCTAACAAGACACAGTTCTTGGTTGCGGGCAGGGGTGTTTCGCTGGGGACCGCGCTCCAATCGAACTAGCTGGCATGGTCATCGAGTGTGTTTCGGAGTTCCGGTATCTTGGATCTCTCATTCATCGCGGTGGTCGGTCGACACGGGCCACCACTGCTCGGATTGCTCATGCCTCTCATGCTTGTGGCGCCTTGCAAAGAACCGTCTTTGGCAATTTTGACCTCGATCTGCATATCAAGAAGTGTGTGTTTAACCCCTTGAGCGCGGGGCTGTTTGTCAGTGCACCACGTAAGAATATGGTCATTTTTGAGAATTATCAAACCTTGGCTATGTCAAGTCATGAAATCTTTGGGAGCCACAACCACAGGCAGTGGTAGGTAAGACCCCGACCAGCACTCGACAACAAGAACAAAAGCGAAAATCGGCCAAGCGGCATACTCTGGTCCATTTTTGAGAAATTGCACCAATTGCGTGGTATGCGACGTACTAGTACGTCATCCGTGGGGCACTGGGTGCGACTTAAGACATACAAATACGTCATCCGTGGGGCACTGGGTGCGACTTATGACATACAAATACGGCATCCGTGCACAAGGGGCATGTGTGATGTCGCTCCTCGTCTAGGGGTCAGAGTGTTGGACACCATTGCAGCACAATGCCCAACGTTTGTCACTCTCTACCATATGCGGTGCATATGTTCCATTTTGCGTGTGCCCCGCAGAGATTGCTGGCATAATCACATGACCAACGCCCAACTCTCGGAGATGTGAGGTGACACTGATACCATCAGCGTGAAGGTTGCACAGCGTTGGCTAGAGTGGCTAGGCCACGTTGCCCAGATGGGCAGTAGCCGGATGCCGAGACAGATCCTGTTTGGCTCACTTCCCACACGTCATCCAGCACATGGCCCTCGCAAGCGCTGGAAGGATTGTGTTGTCTCCGACCCAAGAGTACGTGGCCTCATCAAGGACTAGTATCCGCGCCCCGCGTTGACTGGCGGGCTATGTATGCCCAGACTGTGTAGAATGCGCCTCAGCCTGGCCCAGTGGTATGCACGGATTGCAATTGGTCATTCTCGCGAACTGGAAATCGTGTTCGCCACAAGCGTGTGGTTGAGCGGGCCAAGCCCATTGCTGAGCAGCGAGGGGCTTGTCACTATGGAGATTGTGGGCGTTGGTTTCGAAGCAAGGGTGGTCTAGCTGTTCACCGCTGTTCCGCTCCTCAGCCTCATCCTCCCAAGCCCCGGCAAGTCTTAGTACAGGATGCCTGCTGTGCTGTGTGCTGTGCTGTGTGTGCCCGCTGCTTCCGGACTGCGCAAGGCTGCGGTCATTACTGGTGCTAGAGGACTGTCCCCCGCTCGACTGCCCAGCAGCGTAACTCGTTCAGTCATGTATGCGTGTGTTCTCGCCGGTTCTGTTTGCTCCACTATCTCCGGCGTCATCAGGCTACATGCTCCATCTTCCTCTCTGATGCCCCTCCGGGGCCCACGTGACCCATGTGGCAGTGGCTCTACAGAACAGGACAGGACAGGACAGGTGTGTGTGTGTGTGTTTGTGTTTGTGTGTGTATGTGTGTGTGTATGTGTGTGTGTATGTGTGTGTGTATGTGTAAAGACCAAAAAGTAAGGATTCACTGGCCAGAAAAAGCCACTTCATAGCTGTGTGGTGTAGACCAGGCTGAATAGTGGCGGTCAATTCTTCAGCCTTGCAAGCTGTTGAATGGTGCAATCCCAGCACAAGCTGCTATGGCTTCTGCTGTAGCATCGCTATCATCGCCTCGGCGATGGGCGTCCAATGGTCCAATGGTGTGTATGTGCTTGTGTGTGTATTTGTGGTCAGTCATTGCATAACCGACTGGCTATTGTCACACATGACTGATGACATGTCCACAAAGTGCACATGGCTGAGTGTTTTAATAAAGCAATAAAAGAACTAACTCTGCTGTCACCATCATGCATCAACAAAGTCAAATGTTTCCATAATCGATTTTCATGTCACTATCATCAGTGACTGAATTGATTGCTAGCCAAGCAAAAACAAGGTTAATATGCATTCCAAAATGTGATAAAACTTACAAGAAAGCAACACAAATGGTAAGTAAGTGTCACAAAGGAGAAGGTGAGAAAACCAGAATGTGACAATTGTGAAGTAAAGTATCGTGACTGAATTGCACCATTCATCATTGTTTTTGCTTGGCTAGCGTTAGATTTAGTCACAATATTCCACTGACGATAGTGACATGAAAATCGAGTATGGAAAACATTTGACTTCGTTGATGCATGATGGCAACGGCAGAGTTAGGTCTTTTAATTGCTTTATTAAAGAATTGCTGTCTCCCCGGCGTTTTTTCATATATATTTAAACGGATACTGAGTGTTTCTTCGGTTTTCTTCTCTGCTCTGTCTAACTGTGCTGTTTCTCCTGTAGGACATACAAAGAAGAATTCTTGTAAGTGATTATTTCATTGACAACAATCTAATGGATTCGCTTGATCATACCATTTCATGTTAATACGTTTTTGAATGTTTGGCAAATTTCATATCTGTTGGCATACGGAAAACGCCTGCACCTGCTCATACGCAGGCAGAAATGACCTTCCAACTTGGTCAAAGCCAACCACGTTTTTGGTACAAGCTCATATACTTTGGTCTGCGGAAGCAAAGTAGGAATTTAGATATAATTTCTCTGAATTTTATCAATTGGCTTTTCTGCAAATTCATTTTCACAATCCTATATGAACCACAAGTTCATCAGAATGTGGGTTGAGAAAGACACTGGGTTTCGAAAGAACATTGGAAAATATTGAATATTGGATTTGGAGACAACAACCATGAGTTAGCTTTTAGTAAAATGAGACTCGCGCTCATCTCCCATAACCTATGGTTTTGTTATGGTGCAAAAGGAGAAGGACAAAAAAAGGTTACGAGTTATGACTAACTGTCCACCAACGTAACCAGATCATAAACAGTCATGCAGTGCGACAAAATGGCACAAAAGTGACAAGAAGTACTGAGACATTCGGCGGCCTAACACCTAGCTCCAACACTTCTCCAAGGCGCAAACAAACAACATTCCACCTTGGAAGGCTCAGGCTCGGAAAGGTCCAAAGGGGAAGGAAAGCGCAACGAAAAAGAGCACGAGCTACGCCCCACGTGTTACTAGTTTCGTCATCATCCAGTAACTTTCGGCATTCTGTGTTGCCGCCGCGGGGCGTACTCAGTAGCTTGTCCTCTTCTTTGTTGCACTTTCCTTCCCCTCTTGGACCTTTCCGAACCTGAACCTTCCAAGGTGAAAATGTTTTTGGTTTGCGCCTTGGAGAAGTGTTGGAGCTAGGTGTAAGGTCGCCGAATGTCTCAGTACTCCTTTTAAGTTGCGTGCCTTGTTGTCACACTTGCTGACTGTATATGATCTAATTACGTTGGTGGACAGTTAGTTATAACTCGTAACATTTTGTCCTCCTCCTATTGAACCATAATTGATACGCATTCAATTGCTATTACAGACCAGTGGAGAGCACACAACATATGGAGGATTCTTGGAGTGCTGGGCAACCGAATCTAGTATGTGATAATCTTATGTAGGATATAGTCCACGCACGAAGTGCAGCCCATAAAATGGGCATTCATGAAATGGGTGGAGTGTGGTGCAGCCCATGAAATGGGCACTCATGGAATGGGTGGAGTGTGGACGGCCCATATGATAGTATGTGTGATTGTCCACGCACAAAGTGCAGCCCAAGAAATGGACGCCCATGAAATGAACGAAGTGTTGATGGCCCACGCACGAAGTGCAATGCCCGTTAGGAGGCAGAAGTGTGGGTGTATGAGTGTGATGGCCGAAGGCAGTGGTAGATTGCCACATGAGAGGAGATAGCTGGCCCAGCACCCCTATTTATATTTTCGTTTTTTATGAATTATGATACAGTGGTGAATCAAGGATATCAGTATTATTCATAGAATCGATTAATTTGAGTAATCGGCTGAGTAAACCGTATTGAGAGCGAGTTTTGATAATGTCAGAATGAGTGAAAAACAAAATGAGTTTTGAAATTTCGATTCGATTTTGAGATCGCGTGTAGTCGATCGAGAACAATTTTTGTCATCTTTGTTCTCGCCTTGTTCAAGTGGCGGCGATTAGTTTGAAGAGAGCAGGAGAACATCAATCATGAGCAGTCGGAGACTTAGTATTGATGCAGTCGGTCTGGACGATGCCAACTTCGCGGAGCTGCAGGATGTAGACGAGGACTTCTTCGGTCGATCCTCAGCAGAAGTGGCAGGTGTTGTCAGCTCCGACTCTAGCTCTGACGATGACGACTATCCACCAGCAAACCGCTCTCACCAGGCATCAACAGCAGCAGCCATTGCCGTCCCTTACAGAGACGACGATGAGTTGCGAAGAGAGCGGCAACGATTCCTGCTTGTAAACCGGCGTTAAGCCGGCAGGCGAGCTGGACCTGGTGGCGTTAATCGAATCGGATCTACGTGATGACGCGTCCACAGGCTGCAAGTGCAAGGGGAATGATCATTACCACGACCTGCCAATCGGAGGACCTGCGTGACCTGATGGTGTCAATTAAGCAACTGGACAAGGCTAGTCTGAAACAATACGTGTTGGGCCAGTTATCTCGCAGCATTTTGCCAAAAAGTAGTGCTGACGAGCGCAGGAAATTCCACTATAATACAATAGGTGTTATTGTCTGTCAAAAGGTGTTCTGCATCGTAAACAGTTTATCGCATCATACACTAGTGTCCCTCCAGCACCTGGCCGAAGAAGGAGTAGCTGAGCTGCCTGCACATAGAGGCTAAGAGCGCACACCATGGCACGCACTAACATAGGAAATTGTGAAAAATCGTGTTCGTTTTGTGGAGGTGTATGCAAGTGTGCACGGCATGCCACAATCAGCTGGACCTCACAGTCACCCGCATCAACCATCTGTATACATACCAGCAAGCTACAACAAGGTCATGTTGTACAAACAATGCAATGAAGTTCTAGAAGAAAATGGTGTGCGTGAAATCAGTTTTCGACTTATTGTTCATTCCGGTGGGTATGGAAGGCAGATCTTCCCCATATACGCATCTTGAAGCGGAGACCCGACGTCTGCGTAAAGTGTGGCAGGCTCCATTATATGGTCAGCTGTGCTCGAACAAAGGAAGAAACAACAGGCTACCGATGAACAAAGCAGTGTCGTCAACTTGAAGCAACATTTCTACGTCTAGCTTATGGGACGAACTATTCTCCTCAACGCCACCGCGCCATACAACAAAAAGGCCAAGTTACTTAGGTTTATGGAGAGAGTTTTCTCTTCTTGCTTTCATGAGAAGACAAGACAACTGGCATCAAGACAAGACAAGGCAAGACAAGGGAATATAATGTGAAGACGTGAGGGAAAGTGGAGTGGAGGACACGAAATTGGTACCCATGTGTACTACAACAAAGTCCCGAACGGGAAAGGAGACCAGGACGGCAGACGGTCAAATACTACGGAGACAAGACGGCAACCGGACGAGTGCAATGGAGACAAGACGGAAAAATGCGCATACAAGGGGGACAAGACGAGAAAGAGTGCATATGGGGGGGGGGGGGCAGAAGACGGTGCAGCCGCATGTACAAAGCATTCAAAGGCAGTGCAGCAGCATGTACGACAAAGAGACGCAAACGCAGCAGCAGGTACGACAAACAGACACAAATGCAGCCGCACGTACCACAAAGAGCTACCCGCACAGCTGCATGTACAACAAATACCTACAAGCGCAGCCATATGTACAGCATCAGTGCTGAATGTGTCTACTACAACGGAGCTATCCGGAGCTCCAAATCTTCTTTGCATTTGGAGGATGAAGGGACCACCCATGCCACCTTCATTTTGCACAGCAGTTGGAACTTCCTTGCAACACCAGAGCAGTTGGACTTCTGCATTTCAAGGTGGCCTTTCGTGTCCAGCTCTTTGGCATTGTCCATTAGTCCAAGAACGAGCAGTGGAACTTTCTGTTAGGAGAGCACTATTGCATCTGTGCAGATGGTTCCAAAGCCCACGGGCTGGATGCGGTCTTGTCCATGCTGCACTACTATTTAGAGCATGCAGGTGTCAATAGGACACTCCACTTTCATGCTGACAACTGCACGGGACAAAATAAGAACAAATCTGTAATGGCGTACCTGATGTGGTGGTGTCTCACGAGACTCAGCGATGACATCACAATATCCTTTTTGCTTGTGGGCCATACACGTTGCGCCATGGATGGCTACTTTGGTTTTCTGAAGCGCCAATGGCCATGCGAGGAGAACAACACTATGGAAGATGTGGAAGATGCAGTCAATTCGTCGTGTGGGCCGAACAAAGCAGTGATGTTCCCCTGGAGCTGGTGTCAGTGGGATGTTTTTTTCTCTTGAGCTGGTTCGAGCCGATCAAAGGCATCCTCAACTACCAGCATTTCCACATGAGCAGTGAAAATGCAACCCACATTGAGTGTCGCGCAATACCTGATGGTCCAGCTACAGAAATCACAATCGTCAGAGATGGAGTCGCCGTGCCAAAAGATCCTGAAATTCTGATGCCGGAATAGCCGGCAAAGGGGTTTCAGATTATCGGAAAACCTACCTGGAAATAGAAATCTCTCTTTTTCTCTCAAGTGAACCTGGTGACAATCTCCCTTGGGCATATTTTCATGTGCTTGACTGTCTGGAGTGACCTGTCAACTCCACCAGCCGAGGCTTAGAACAGAAATGGTGACATACATTTCCTGAAATGCTGAATTTGTATGTGCTATACTTCAAGTATTCATTTGGACCATTTATATGTGTCATGTGGACCCCACATTCCGGCTGAAGAAGCATCAAGTCATAATAGATCAAAAAATTAAAAAAATTGAATTGACCCAAAAAGTCCGTATTTTATACATTTACTCAGCCCATGTTTCAGATGGGGTGCGGCGGATGGGTGAGAAAGGAACAAACCGGTGTTCTTCTCACGACCTAAGCAAAGTGAATATGAAGTAGCAAAGTGGACAGCGCGAAGCGTGGTGTATGTGTTGCTGATTCAAAATGCAATGTTCGCCGCACCCGCATATGTCCGGCTGGCGAGTTCAGGTGTGTTCTGGCGTACGCATGTTGCATACAACTGCAGCATGCAGGTAAGTGTTGCTGGATGCATGCATCATGAATAGTAGTGTAGGATCTGCAGGCTCTCTGAAGGCCGCTGGAGCGTGTGTGACGTGATGAAGTGATGGCTGGTGCAATAAAATAACCTACATCACCACAAACTAATGTATAAAACAGAAAAATGGACCAAAGAACTACAAGTTATGCGTTAATGTCCACGACCACCACCAGTTACTAAATAATCAGCTCATGCGATAACATTTCACGACACTGACCGACGGTACTGACGTTCTACAACTAATTGGCTAACAGCTCTAGCACATCGTGGATTTGCAGTCCAACAGCCTTCCAAGATGGAAGGTTCTAAGTTATGCATGCTTGCATGCGTGCATGCGTGCATGTGTGCGTGTGTGCATGTGTGCGTGTGTGCATGTGTGCATGTGTTTGAGCCCGTACGCATCTGTGCGTGCCTACATGTGTGTACATGTTTGTGTGTGTGTGTGTGTCTATGTGTGTATGTGTGTGTGTGTGTGTGCGTGCGTGCGTGCATGCGTGCGTGTGTGCGTGTGTGTGGGTGTGTGTGTGTGTGCGTGTGTGTGTGTGGGGGGGGTCATGCGTGTGTATGTGTGTGTGTGTGTGTGTGTGTGTGTGTGTGTCTGAGTGTGTGTGTGTGCATGTATGCATGTGTGCGTGTGTGTTGTCCGTCAATGCGCACACAACTGGCTGTCGTGACACACGACGGAGCAAGTGACCACAATGTATAGATGACTGAGTTTTTCCTTGGGCTGTTTTCTCCTCTATGTATCACTGTGCTGTTTTCTCCTGTAGCAAGAAGATCAAAAGGAATTTATAGATACCCGCTGTCCTGCAGTAAGTGATCTTTTCATTGACGACAATTCACTTGGTCATACAGTTTCAAGTTATTTTAAGTTAGAAGAAAGGACCAAAACGTTACATGTTATCTGTAGTTAGTGTCCAGCACTAACGGCAGTTATAAGCAAAATGTTGTGTAGTCAGAAGGTGCAACAGCTAGTACAGCACTGACTGATGTGATACTGACATTCAACGACATAATGTTAAGCTCCATCACGTCTTGGATGCATAAACCAACAGCTGTCCAACTTGGAAGATTATTAATTATGAAACAACAAGAGAAAGGGGGATGTGACTGCCCTCAAGATGAAAACAAGCTAAACATCACGGCAAGCTAGGAATGTTAGCTTTGAGATGGTGAGGAAAGACAAAGGACCACGGTACAGGACGGCCATGGCTCACTTCGAGAATGCAACGTCTTGATTATAACTGTTAGTGTTGGACACTCAGATAACACGTGACATTTTGGTCCTTTCTTAAAAAATAATCCTTGGCTTTCCGTTCCAATGTTATTTGGTAATGTTTTGACAAGTTTCAAATATTTGAATAGGCGGCGAGGCGACAAAGGTTTAGGATGGCAATAGACACAATCAGCTGAAGCGTCATGTTACGAAGGTTTTATTGAGATGTCACGAACAAAAAACAATTCTAGAGAAAGAGATTTGCGCGAAAGCTGGTTCGATGCATATCTTTTTCATCGTTCCTATCATTGTTCTTCACATTACATTTTCATCATCGTTATTTCTTTGTCCATCACCACTTTCTCTAGAATTTATTCATGACATCTCAATAACACTTTCGTAACATGATGCGTTTAGCTGATTCTGTTTATTGCCATCCTAAAATAATTTTCCCATATATATGATTATGGTGAAAATGAAGGACAAAATTTTACGAGTCATGACTAACTGTCCACCAACGTAACCAGATCTTATACAGTCAGCGAATGCGACAACATGGTACAAAACTGACAATGACAGTTGGTGGACAGTTAGTCATAACTCGTAACATTTTGTCCTCCTTTTCACCATAATTTAATTGGCTCACCATCCGAGTTAAATATATATAATTATTCGAGAAGGATGTTGAGCCCATAATAAATGTAGAAAGGAAAAGGACTTATGGATACGAGTTAAGAGTTACTCTCCACCAGTTGTTGCACTGTCTGACCATATAATACAGTAAAACCCGTAATGGCGACCACCCGGATATGGCGACCACTCGACCATGGCGACCACTTTTCCTTGTCACGGACGCATTCACATTCAAAACACCTCGGATAAGGCGACCACTCGCTCAACGCGACCGACAACCACCCACCCGCGACCGCGTAGCACAGTGCTAGTCATGTAAATGTACGCATTGCATGGTGCACCAGGCATGGTAGATCTACACATCAGTACAGGAAGTGTAGATGTACATGGTGCATGCACGACATTTGACAGGTCTGAGGACCCCAGGCACGTGAGTCGTGCTAGAGTAGCATAGGTGTGTGCACTGTGATGCACTGATCAAAATGATGTATCACATGTCGATATGGTCACGCGACCCACGGAACCTGGATAAGAAGACCACCTGGCCACGGCAACCACTTTTTCTCGTCCCTTGAGGGGTCGCCTTAGTCAGGTTTCACTGTATCTAGCTACAGTGGTGGAGAGTAACTCTTAACTCGTATCCATATGTTCTTTTCCGTTCTACAATCGAGAAGGAGCCAACAGTTTTAGTATTGCAATGAATGAGATAAAGTCCAGCTGGAGCAGATGCCCCCAAGTGCACCACAATGACATGCCTCCAAAAACAAAATCAAAACAAGCTAGTTGACCAGTACTAGAGGAGTCACCAATGACCACGCCTGAACTGGAATGAGCAAACAACCCCTACCAGTGAACAAAGGAAAAGTAAATGAACAAAAATAGAATCTCCTTTCTTTCCTCTAACACTGGTAGTCTCTTCCCCAAAACGGATGAACTGTCAGTGATAGTATCATCAATGCAGGGGCGTCACACATGGTATGGCCACTATGACCATGGTCGTTCCACTTTTCGTCCAGGATGGTCCACCCAATTAATCCAAAAAAGCAATAAAAAAAATTGAAGGATATTCGGACTTGTGCAAAACAACACAACTTTCATTGCAAGGAGCATACAATTACTTATGATTTATGTCGTTCAAACTGAAAAATGAGCACATGACTGATCATGTGGCCACAATGAGCACATGACTGAGTGGTTCTGTGGTCCGTTTCTCCCTTATGTATAACTGTGCTGTTTTGTGCTGTTTTGCTTGTAGATAAGCTCTGAACACAAAGAGCTGCTAGCCGATCTTCTTGTGAGTGATATTTTGATTTATAACAGGGGATGGATGGACTTGGTCATACTGTTTCTTGGTATTTTGAATGTTTTCAAATTCAAATTTTAAATCTGTCGGTATGCCTTAAAAATTGCTTATGGAATTTCGAGAGAGGTTGAAATCTCAGAGCCCTCGCAGGGCTCTCTTTTTACCTTCATCATCATACTTGGTATTCGAGCTGTGGGGAACGTCTTTTTCATACGGTTACCATTCGCGTGTTTCATTTGATTGCAAAGACGTTTCTGTCGATTGGAATGGTACACAATGATGTAATTAAAAAGAAGGCACACCGATGGCTTTGAGCTTGCGAGCTTCCTGGTTCCTCTTTTCCATAGAAGAAAATTTACTCATAACGCTTTTTCCGAGACGGGTACATTCCGAAAAAGTAGCTTAATTACACTATGGTCTTATGAGCATTTTTGCCATTCACATTTTGCCCAAAGTTATGCAAAGACGCTACTTTACAGTGCATTTAATAGATCCTGAAAACGTTGATAACGTACTCAAGGCCACTTTGCGAAAATGTCGCGCAAGTTGCGTTACGGAAATCTGCGCACGAAACTCGAAAAACCGGGTGCGACTGGTCGCATTTGTTCAGAGTGCTCTTCAAGGTCCAGGTGGCTGAAGGAATCATTTCATTTTTGACCGCTCTGTCGCCCTATTTTGCTTTTCTCGAGCGTTTTTTTCTTCTTCCTCAAAATCCACATATCTCCAGACACTGGGGTGAATAATGGAGTGTGGTGGTCGGGCCCATCAAGTACAGACGACCAGAGGTCTCGGCTTCATAGCTCCATGGACGCGCCAAAGGGAAATCGGGTAGGGAGAAGTAAGTTGAAAAAGAAAACAGAAGAAAGAAAATGAAAAGATTGTATTGCTCAGTGAGCAAAATATTGAGTTGAGTATTGACGTGAACCGTGACTGCTTTTAAATTCAAGAGGAGACTGTCTGTGAGGAGAGGTTAGGTCCAAGCAGGGTAGGAAACTGTACCCTCTTAATCACGTATGCTATGAGTGGCCCAGTGCCAGTTTTTTCTGAGGAGATGGTGGTAAGCTGCTGTCTTGAATTTTTGGATGTTCTTTGGGTGAGATGGGTGGGGGAATGATAGAGGCAGGCAGCTGGTTGCAAATGGGAATAACGGAATGGGGAAAGGCTCGGCTCAAATTGTTCCGGAAACTGGAAGGAAGACATTCTGTAACTGATGGGGGTGCGTGGTGGAAAGTCGTACAGCCTTGCGGGTGAGGCGTGTGGTCCTGGGCTGGTGTGTCGGGGGTGGAGCCATTCGCGAGAGAAGAGAGGGAGAATGGTCGCAGAATTCTGCTGAATTTCAGCTGTTGGTCAAACGTAACGGCGAGTACTTCAATGGAGGGCTGCTCCTCGACAGGAGTTCCATTGAAGACAATGGGGGGGGGGGGGGGGGGGCGGGGGGTAGTGGCCAGTCACGATGATGGTGGGAAATTTTGAGGGCCCAGTGGCGTGTCCAGGATTTGGCTGGGGGGGGGGGGGGGGTTGCGGCCTGTATGCGGTGGGGATTGATGACATCATGCTACTGTCCCGAGTCGGCCATTTTGAAAATGATGCCAAGAAGCCGTGAATCTCACACACCACGAAAACAAAATGTATTTAAATCATTTATTGTACATGTATTTCCATAGCTTGCATCACAAAATTAATAATGAAAGTACATAGAAGGGATATAGCAGTTGCCTCTGCACGTGGTAAGTACACACAGCTTTGCTTCAAAGTTCGGCAGGGCACGTCAACAGGAGAGAGAAGTTACAAGTCGGGGCAGTTACCTTCGGACTCCTCCTGGACAGGGTTAACCAACAGCATTCTCCTCCGAGGATGAGCTGAAGCAAACCTGTTCAATACAGCATCCAGATCCAGAGGAATGCTCTTGTGGCAATGCAGAAGCACAAGGGCATTCAGTCGTGACTGCGTCATGGTGCTGCGGCGTTCCGTTTTGATGAACTTCAGGGTGGAGTTAGCAAGTTCGACGCCAGCAGATGTCACAGGAATGACAAGAACAAGCTGCAAGACGCGCGAGATGTTTGGGAAGAGCAAGGGATTGGCTTCCTTGACAGTACTGGGGAGAGAAGTTGGATGTTGTCCTGCTGGGCGCATGTCCCACTTCTTCATCCACAGCTCCACTTCAGCTCTGAAACTGCTCTTGTCTGGGAGATCATAAGCATAGGCTGCCTCTATGTTGGCAATGTGATCGGATGACATGCGATCCAAGTTGGCAGGGAGAAGAAGGAGTGCCTGGATGGCCTTCTGGTTCAGGGAACTGAATTGACTGCCCATTTCAGAAATAACCGAATCCAGGAACGGCACGAAAAATGGCCTGCGCCAGTACCCCTCTGCATTGGAGGCAGGCACATTGCTACGCTGTGTCCGGCATGCTGAAGTGCGAGGAACGGCTGGTTTCTCTCTCCCATGGACAGCTGTTAGACTGCAAATTTCACCATAGAACTTCTTGAATGATATGTCCGCCTCCTCGCAGTGACCTTGAAAGACAGCGACGACTCTGGATATCTGTGAGTATGCTTCCAATATATCCAAATGTGAACCTTGGAGAAGAGCACTCAGACCTTTCAGGTACGCAGAGAAGAAAACCTTACAGTGCAAGGAGACAATAAAGTCATCCGATGATATTGCATGGAGCAGTCCGTTTTTGCCATCGAACTTGGCCAGCTCACAAGGTTTCTCAATGCCAGCTTCAGCTTGCTGGTCATGCGTTGGTGCTGAGGGTTGGCCACATAACAGCCTCATACACCTGCCTGAAATCCATGATGGCCGTGTGCCGCTCAACCTACCTGGTAGCAGACAGCAATTTAAGCTTAAGGGTTGGGATTGGTTCTATTCCCTCCTGCGTATGCTGGTAGTTAAAAGCCAGGCAGTGGAGGTTTCAAGGCATCGTTGACGCTTCGGTGAGTATTTGAAGAAGATGCCCAGTGCCTGCAGGCCTGATAGCATGCACTGGACGGACTTCACTGCGCAAGCCTTGGTCAGCGCCAGGTTTTACTGATGGCTGGCACAATGGTAGTAATGGGCTTCAGGTACTACTTGACTGAACTTCGCCTGGCAAACCAGGCTTTCTGTGGCCTCTCCGTCACAAACGTACCGCACAGAAATACCAAGCTGCTCCCACCCACTGACGTCCATGACCTCATCGGCCGAAATACCGTAATAGTGAGAGTCGCGGACATTCTTGACAATGGACGCCGTTAGCTCGTCACCCATACACACGAGCAGTTCGTTCTGGGCCGTGTTTGCCAGGCAAGTTGCATTTTTGCGCAAGTTTGCAAATGGTCGTGCAGCACTGTATCGCCGCTTGCCACAGCAAACCGAATCAAAGCATGGAAATTGCCTCCTGGATCACCATCTCCAGTCAGATCATCGCGGTGTCCGCGAAGGGCCAGGCCTTGTCTTCCAGCCAATTCCAGGCAGCGCAGAATGGACAAGAGAACTTGTCTGTTCTTCCGAACACGTTCTTGTGACCGTTCCGTAATTGTGGCGTCAATGCGTTGCTGTGGGTTCTCTGCTACAGAGATGAAGTGCAACAGCTTGGCAATCGAATCAGCATGGTACTCCAGGCGACCATGGGCATCTAAGTCCTCTCCAAGCTTGTTGAAATTTCGGTGGACTTTGGTGATCAGGGTGTCTGCCCTTCCAGAACCACCTCGGTGAAGAGTGGGGAAGAGAACGCAGGGGAAGCAATACACGCCAGCCGCTGATACGTCTCTTTCACCGCCGTGATACGCCAACCACTCGTGCTTATCAAACAAAGACAGCTGGAGGAATCGCTTTGATGTGCCCGACTGCTTTCCCTTGTCAGCAAGTAGCGAGAACGGCAGCGAGCAACCGGGCACTGGTTTTCTGGACCGAGTCAACTGCAATTTCTGGGAGTCCAACAATTGCTCACCACTCAAAGCATCCTTTACATAGGCAGCTGTGCTATGGACAGCGCTGCACATCGCAGATCGCACATCGCGTATACGAGATTACCGGTATACTATCGACTCGTATACTATCGGGTATGCTACTACACTTCGCATAATAATTATACTACACACAGTCGAGAGTCTCCCGGCAAGACCTGACGCGTCGAGCGCATCCCTGCAGTGATCAGTTCACACTAGTTTTTGTTTAGTCAGCCGGGTGTTTCTGTAGCCGAGCATGCACAGTGACTTCACAGTGACTGGCCCTGCATACTAGTACAGGGCTGCCACTTGCACGGATTTTTCGGAAATCGTCTGATTTTTGATCGCCTGTCCGACAAACCGACCGATTTTGTTCCCAAAGAGGGAAAACTGATTATTTTATTTTGAGTGCTTTTTAGTCCAGTTGGCCGTTAATTCGGCACTTCCAGGTCGCGTTTGGCCAGTCATGGTACTAGTACATGTACAGGTAGCTGTAAAATGCACGCGTGCTGTGTTCTGGGGCCCCAACACCAAGCCATTTCCCCAAAATTTTCAGATTTTTCTCCCTCCAAGTGTGCCAGCCCTGCTAGTAGTAGTAACTAGTCTGTCTGTACTGTGTACAGTCCGCCAGTCCGCACAAGCACCATGCAACCACTTTTGGACGCTCGTTTCTGGCTGCGCCCCCCCCCCCCCAGACATGCACTGTAGGATGCAGGCTGCAGGTGAGTGCAGCATGCCTGGCGTTGTTTATTTTCGAAACCTAGGTCGAGACTTTTGAGCCCCCCCCCCCCCCCCCGAACCCGCCACTGGGGCCTGGGGTTTGGCTGGCTCGAACTGCACTTTCCAATCCGAGCCCCAACTGGATACGAGGTCAACAGCAGCTTAAAGTACTCTAGCGTTGTCAAGAACAGCAGCGAGAGTTGAGATTTCTGCATATAGGGTTGCATCGTCGGCAAAAGAGGCGAGGTTGGAGCCGATTGGGAGGTGGTCTCCGAGGTCCTTGACGTAGACCAGGAATAAGGTGGGGACCAGGATACTGCCCTGTGCCACCCCAGCCTTAACCGGTCATCTGGCTGATGTCTGGCCGGATATGAGAACTTGAAGTGTGCGGTTGCAGAGGTAGTCTTGGAGCCATCGATGCAGGTCTCCCGAGATGCCATACACTCTAGCCTTGTGCAAGACACCAGCGTGGGACACTCGGTCAAATGCTCCAGTAATGTCGATGACCAGCACTCGTGAAGCCCCTTGATCTCTTGCGATGTCCACGCTTTATTTCGTATCTTTGTGTGTGCGGATGTGTGTGTGTGTGTGTGTGTGTGTGAATTTTTCTATTTGCTGAGACTAGTTAGAGCCTCCGAAGCAGCGTAGGTACACTCAGGGCTCTCCTAGCTTGCTAGGAGAGCCCCTGGCGTGTCAAGTGTAGACCTTTTGAATTTAGGGCAGCGGATCCAACGACGTGACTTACAGGACAATTATTTGAATTTGATATTGTCACTGTCGCGTCGTCCGTAGTCCTCCATCCGCAGTGGGCTAGCTACCCCTCGGATGTGTAGAGTTTCAGCTTCAAAGCAGCCAGAGTTTGGAGGCACCCGTCGGAGGCGCCCAGCTGGTGCTCTTGTCAAATTTGCTTCGTGGAACGTCAGGACTTTAGTGAACATCGATGGCCCGGTTTCAACTGCTGCTCGTGGAAAGCGCGTCGTGGAAGACAAGAAAATCAACATCGTTGTCAGTGAACTTCGTCGGTACGAAATAGAAGTGGCTGGATTCCAGGAGTCGAAGTGGTTTGGTAAAGATATATTCCGTGTCGAGGATGCAATTGTTCTCACGTCAGGTCGCGCCATCCCAACGGACGATTTCAAACGAGGCGAAGGAGTTGGAGTCGTACTACGCGGACGCGCACAGCAAGCGTTCGTAGCAGGGGGAAATCAGTGGTCTGCTGTCTCATCGCGTGTCGCACGCTGCAAGCTAAAGTTCGGTGACATTTGGGTCCACGTCGTGGTGTGCTACGCACCGACTTTCCGGTCCAGTCGCGATGCAAAGAACGATTTCTTTGACTCTCTTCAGGAAGTTATTCTGTCCGTACCCACCCAGGACTCCTTGATAATCTTGGGAGACTTCAACGCTAGAGTTGGAGCTGAAATTTGTGACGATGGCTGGTATGGAACACGTGGCCCACATGGTGTTGGCACTGTCAATGAGGCTGGCGCTGAGCTTCTCCAGTTTTTAGCGTGCAACAGCCTTACTGTGTGCAACACCTGGTTCATGAAACGTAACATCCACAAGTGTACCTGGCAACATCCCCGCTCGAAGCGGTGGCACTGCATCGACTATGCAATGGTCCGGGAACAAGACCTGTCCAACTGCATGGATTGCCATGTCATCAGGGGAGCTGAGTGTAGTACAGATCACAACCTTGTGTGTCTCACATACCGCATCCGCTCATCTGCTTGCCACAAGCGTGCAAAAAGACCTGTCAAGTTTGATGTGCAACAACTTGTCAAACACTCCTGCATGACGGAAGCGCAGAGAGCTGCAACCTGTAAAACTCGTGAACAATATGCGACGTCTGTTGCGTCAGAGTTACGATCCTGGAATCATGATGGCTGCGTTGAGGACAAATGGTCTGCCGTCAAATCTGCTATCGTCACCAGCGCTGAGAAGCATCTTGGCCGTCCACGTCGTCGCCAGCCTGATTGGTTTGAAGCGTGTGCTGATGTTCTTGCACCTATGCTGGATAGCCGCAATGCCTTACATCGCAAATGGCTCGCCTCTGGTTCTGACGCTGACAGGCGTCGCTTTGTCGAGGCTCGTGGCAAGTGCAGAACTGCCGTGCGTAACGCAAAGAGTGAGTGGATTGGACGTAAAGCTAATGTGGTTGAGTCAAGTCGGTTTAGTGGCAAGCACGCATGGTCTGCAATCCGTGATATACAGAAGTGCTATTCGGGATTATCACCTATCTCCATCCCATCCATCCGTGGCAGTGACGGAGTTATCTGTAGCTCCCAGGAGGGGCAAGAGAAATGCTGGCTGCAGCATTTTGCCCGTCTATTGAACGTTCGCAGCACCTTCGATGCTACCATCTTTGACCACATTGAGCAGCGTGAAGTTGATGAGTCACTCGGCCAACTTCCCTCGCTAGAGGACCTCACTATGGCTATACGCCAGCTGGCTAATTGCAAGGCTCCTGGCTCATCTGGAATTGCACCTGAACTGCTTAAAGCTGGTGGTACACCATTGCTTGAGGCTCTGCTTGATGTTATTCACACTGCATGGACCAACGGAACGGTTCCCCAGGATTGGCGGGATGCCCAACTCGTCCCGATTCCCAAAAAGGGTGACTTGACCAACTGCAACAACTGGCGCGGCATTGCCCTCCTAGATGTCGCTGGCAAGGTTTGTGGCCGTCTCATTCAGGACCGTCTCCAACTTGTCGCGGAACAAGAACTTCCAGAATCCCAGTGTGGCTTTCGCCCTGGTCGCGGCTGCGCTGATGCCATCTTTTCCATTCGCCAGCTCATCGAGAAATCGTACGAGCACCGTCAGAAGCTGTTCTGTGTCTTCGTAGACCTGAAGAAAGCATATGATTCCGTACCACGCCAAGCACTCTGGCTAGCATTGGGGAGGCTAGGCATTCCTGAAGGGCTCCTCAATCTAATCCAATCGTTCCACGAGAGCATGCAGGCAGCTGTGCGCGTCGGTGCCAGCACTACCGAGCCGTTTGCGGTCAACAATGGCCTCCGTCAAGGCTGTGTGATGGCCCCAGTACTTTTTAATCTGTACTTCGGTGTTGTGCTTGAGCGGTGGGCACAAATGATGCAGGACAGCGACCATCCACCTGGCATCCCCATCCAATTTAGCATCAATGGCAACCTTTTCTCAAAGCCCGCTCGCCAGTCTACTGCCGCAATCATCAACGACATTGAGTACGCAGATGACGCGGTCTTGCTCGCTGAAGACCGCCCTGGTGCTGAGAAGTGCCTTGAAACATTCTGCACGGTTGCCTCTTCCTTTGGCCTCTGCGTCAACGCTGCTAAAACGAAATTTCTCGTGGCAGGTAGCCAAGTCAACATGCCTGATAGAGCCGATATGAACGTCAACGGTGATACTGTGGAGCACGTTCCATCCTTCATTTATCTGGGGTCCGTCGTGACACCGGATGCCCGCTCCTCTACTGACGTCAGTCGCCGCATAGCTGAGGCTTCCAAAGCCTTTGGAGCTCTTCTTCCAGTCTTGTCGGATCGCTCGCTGTCATTAGTCAGTAAGCGAAAGCTATACGTGGCCTGTGTCTTGTCCATTTTGCTGTACGGCAGTGAGTGCTGGACGCCCTTGAAAGCTGATAGTAGACGTTTGGATGCCTTTCATCATCGCTGCATCCGCACAATATTAGCCATCCCTCGCAGTCAGCAGCAATCCGATCGCATCACGTCTGCGCAGTTACGTCGTCACTGGGGTGACCCAGTGCCACTCTCTGTTAAGATGCGCCATCGTCGTTTAGAGTGGCTTGGTCATGTGGCTCGGATGTCGGAGGACCGTGTCCCATTGCAGCTGTTGTTTGGTCGTTTGTTGGCTGCGCGCCCCTTCTGCGGTCCCAGGCGTAGGTGGAGAGACGTTGTGGCTACTGACACGAAGTCCATTCCAAACTGGTTTGATTGCGCACAAGACCGGTCAGCTTGGCGAGAGCAGGTTCTGGTTTTTCAGCCTCCTCGGGCAGTAGAGAAATCCGTACTCTGCTCATCTTGCAACCGGGCTTTCTCTCGTCCTCAAGACAAGGCACGGCACAAGTGTTTGGCTGAGCGCCAACTTCCCGTCCACCAACAGCGTGGTTCAGCACAGTGCGTCAGTTGCTGCCGATGGTTCCGTAGTAAGGGTGGGCTTGCAGTTCATCGCTGCCAGCCTGCACTCCCTGAACATGCAGATACGGCATTGACGGCGTCTCTCGCTAGTTGCTGCTTCCAGCATTGTCAACGCTGCAATCGCTGCTTCAAGTCCCGGGCTGGTTTTAACCGCCATAACTGCAACCGTGGAAAACGTCTTGCTGCAGCCGATAGGGAATCACTGCCGCTGATCTGCATGCATTGCCCGAAACGTTTCCGACGACAGCAAGATTTGACGAGGCACCAGAAGTCCTGCCAATGACGGTGCACTCCAAACTCTGGCCCCCTCCGGGGGTGACATTGCCCAATGGGCAGTCATGCTATAGTAGTAGTAGTAGTGTGTGTGTGTGTGTGTGTGTGTGTGTGTGTGTGTGTGTGTGTGCGTGTGTGGTGGGGAGGGGGGGGGGGGGGGTGTTTCGTTAGGGTGTAAGGCATTCCTGGCGCTATCCCGTACAACTCCCCTTCCATACCATCAAAGAATGCTGGCCACCAAATTCAAATACGGTGTTCAACTGCAGCATCATAACGTGAAGCAATTGGGAAGAATGTGTGTGTATACGAAGGGCGTCGAGGGAGTGAATACATTGAATGTACTGTGGGTTCGAATCCCATTTTATGTGTAAAAGTTAGAAGCTAGTTCATATTTCACCATATGCACCCCTCACATTGAAGTGTTGATCCTGGCACATCAGAGCGTACTGCCTCTGGGAGATGTTGATTATCATTATTATTGTCTGCACTGGATTATTCTATCTCCTCTGCTTTCCTTCATATACATGCGCTTTTTTTAATCTCCTTATGTTGTCTGACGATTGGTTTTTGCCACGAACCTCTCAGTAACAAAGAAACAGCCCTATTTACTTCCGCTTGTGTGCCTCTTGCATACTACATACACTCTACCCATTGCGGGCATTTTAGCACTATTGCAGATCAAGGCGCACTGCCTCTAAGCTAGCACGATAGGGTAATATATAAACTAGCCTGGCTGAATGTACAGTGATACCTGTCTAAGACGACCGTTCAAGGGACCTTCAAAAGCGTAGTCTCCGTTTCCAGGTGGTCGCCTTATCCAGGGTCATTGGACTGGAAATAGCGTCCCTTTGTCCCGGTTGCAGTGGTCTTCTAGGACAGGTGGTCGCCTTATCCGAGAGGTCGCTGCCTTGACAGGTTTTACTGTACCTGTCTGGGTGTTAGGGTTTCTTTTCTATTTATGTACTGCAAAGACTTTTCTATGAGTTCGAACAACACACATGACGACCTAGGTAAAAACAAAGCATAGCGAGGGCTCCTGGGCTTTCCAGACCTCTCGTTTTCTATACATTCATGAGATACAAACCCTCACTATCATGCTTCATGCATTTCCCATGGACTTTGCATAAATACATATTCTACATAGTTGTTTCACGGAAATTTTGATATTTGATGAAAGTTTCCGGAAGAGGAAACTGTAGTCATCACCAACCCTCACCACGCCCAGCTCACACCGCTGCCAAGTGCGACCCGAGTTGGGCGCCCTGCCATGCAGCATGGGGCCGTCCTCAAGCCAGTCGCGTATTTGGCAGCCCAGTGTGCTGGCTACCGGATCCCAGTGACTACAGGCGCTCAATGTGGCAGGGTCAGCCTCAGGCTGTTCATGTATGCGGCAGCGTCATCCTCAGGCTGGTCGCGCATGCGGCAGCGTCATCCTCAGGCTAGTCGCGTATGCGGCAGCCCGGCAGGCGACCGGCAAGGCTACGACGGCGCCCCGTGGCGCACCAGGGAGGCTCCTGGGGCTCAAAGCCGCGCAATAAGCGCACCACCACATCAGGTATGCGCAGGTAGCGCAGCAGGGCAAGATGTGTGCCGGAAGCTCACCGCTCATCCGGCCGACCTCATGATTATGTATCTTTACACAGCCGGCACTTCTTACTTGTTATAGCTTGCAGAAGGTTAGGATTATATTTCTTTCTTCTTTTTCCCTTCTGCCAGGCACGGCTTCATATCAGAGCAGTAAATAGCGGTTAGGGACTCAGCTGAGTCAAGCTGGACTCAGCGTGTCAAGTTTGGCATAATAAATATATACAAGAAGCGCACTACCCACAGACAGTTGTGTGGTTATTGTGTGAGGGTATATGCAGGAGTCCGCGGTCATGTGATGGGGGGGGGGGGGTGATAATTCTATTATTCTTCCCAGTGCAGGCAAACCTCTGGAGGATGAACTTCAGGGACTGAACTTTGTTTGCCTTATCTGTACGTGTTCTTATCTAAATCTGTTACTGTAGAAGGGGTAATTTTAGCGACTATTAATTTTTGCGTTTTCCCATTGTCAACCGGTTAGCGACGTTTTATTTTAGTGATTTGCAGCAAGTTTACTCACGGATCACCAGTGCACTACTAATGTCTCAACGGATTAGCGACTTGAAACTTTAGCGAAAAGGAGTCGATCGCTAAATTCGCTTGGGTTTTACGTCGCTAAAAATACCCGTTCTACAGTAGAAGAAAATGTGTCTGTGTGTTTGTTTGTGTGTGTGTGTGTGTGTGTGTTTGTATGTGTGTATGTGTGTGTATGTGTGTGTGTGTGCATGTGTGGGTTTTGTGTGTGCAAGTGCACGTGCGTTTGAGCGCGTAAACATCTGTGCGTGCGGACATGCGTGTGTGTTTGGGGTCCGTCATTGCGTAGCACATGATTGATCACGGGACCACAATAAACACTTTACTGAATCTTTATTCTCCCCTATGTTTAACTGTGCTGTTTCTCTTGTAGGACACCTATCTACGAGAAATCGCTGAACATTTTCATCGTGTAAGTGATCTTTTCATTGATTAGCACCATATCCCTCACACACTCATACTCAGCCGAGATCTTGGACTTGGTCTCAATCGGAATGCACATATAGCGTAGACACACATTGCTCTGCCACCTGCCAGCAGAACGAATCAGCGAATCGGGTATCCCTGCCCTGGCGGCGGTAGTAGCGGCGCTAATTCGGAATGAGTGTCCCGTGTAGAGTTTGATGTTTAGCACCGCAGCCCTTTCAAGCAGCAAGCGCACAGTACTGGTGAAAATAGCTCTGGATAACGGCATGCCCTTGGCAAGTACATATAGAGGAGAGGATGCGTTTCGACTGCCAATCATTGCCAGGTAGCATAGCATAGCATACACAGGGCAGTAAGGGCGGTCCGGCCGGTCCAATGACAATGTGGACTCCCTTTCCAAATTGATCTGTCTTTGATCTCTTTAGCAGGATAGTCATGCTGCCCGACTCAAATCTGATGTACTCTCTTGTAATGCCCTCTGTAAATTCGGAGCACCTTACCAAAGAATGCCAACAGCACAGCAGACTTGAAGAGGACTCGGTCATGTTCGGCCAACACAGGGAGGTGATCACAGGCATCAACTCCTTATGCACAGATATACAGCATTCCCTCACTGGGACCATTGTTATTAGGCTAGGGCCTGTTTTGGACTTCCCACTCTAAATAAAGAATACAAACCACTAGTTTTTCCTTAGAGTTGGCATAGTTATGGGCAATCTAGGCTTTACTGTCTTGCAGATTGCAAAGGGAGCAGAAACTGACAAAACGACGCTCACCGGCAGAGTAGGTGCGTCTGGTATTAGCAGCAATTGCACAGGCAGCGTCCTTAGTGACTTCGCTCACAAGACTGCTGGAAGACGGGCATGGTCTGGACTCGGCCGGGCTAACGGAGCATGACGACGAAATTCCTGCATAAGAAAACGAGAAAGGCAATCTGCAATGACATTCTTGGAGCCAGCATAATATACCAAACAGTCGTTCTTGAGACAATTTGTTTACAGGAAAGACGAAATGAGTGGTAAGCTTGTTTATCTGTCAATATGCATGATTGTGCTGAAGAAATGCGGGTAGGATATGAAACGAAAACGCTTGAACTGCTAAACACAAACAAACAAGAAGGTCGTCAGCATGGTTTATTTGTTGATATGCATGATTGTGCTAAAGAAGCACTGCGGTACAGTACAGAAAAACTTGAATCAAAAATTCAAAATAATTTCTCCGTGTCGTTACAATTGTGGGTTGCTAGGGTGATTTTTTCCCGTTGTCTCGTTACGTCACAATAGACGGAATACAAATCAACCATTATTATGATAACAGTGTTTGATAGTGTTTGATTAGTGTTCCATCCATTAAAATCGCACCAAATGGAGAAAGTGAGAAGTACGGATTGATGACTGTCACGAGAACATGTTTGTTTTGGACTACGGTAAAGTCGCGGATAAAAGCCGGGTTTATAAGCATAATTATAAGCCGCTTTCTGCATCAAGCTTTAGTGCAAACCAGGATTGTATGCAAACCATGCTTATATGCACCACTGATATTTTTTGCCAGGCTTTGTATGCACGCTTCTACGCGCGACACGCGTAGATCTACCACTGGCTACCGGTATGGCGGCAGTTTTACTATGCACCGTACATAGCGCATGCACTCTTGACCTACCCGATCCGTGCTTGCATAGAAGCCAGGCTTCTTCTACGCGCGACAGGCTTATATGCATTTGACCCGTTTGGTTTTCAGGCTTCTATCCGCAATGTGCTTGTATGCAAACCCGGCTTTTATCCGCGACTTTACCGTATATGCATGTGCCTAACCTCCATGTGCCATTGTGGATGTCAGTATAGCACCCACTAATGACTGTGCACTGAGCATGATTAATATGTAATTTTTATCTCTATTGTGTTTATTATCTAGGAATACCTTCCCCATGAAAACACAGGCCTGCCAAAAAACTGGGTAAGAACGCACGGAAATACTGAATTTAATTTCCTTGGAGACAAGAATGCAATGATACTTAGAAGTAGGACGCTATCTTCTATGTGTATGGGTCATGCATTTGACGCTGTTGTTTTGGCTCTTCTCCCTTGCGCTGATCACCTCTCTACTGTACTTAATCCATTGTCCATGTCTATTTGATTTTGCCTGCGTTCCACCTGATCCTAAGGCCTCGGTCACACTACGGCAAGTTTGAAGCTGGACGCAGCGTCAAGCCGCAGCACTTGACGCAGACGCGGGGTCACGCAGTGTTTTGTTTTGTTTTGCAGCTCATGACTGCCGCGGCCTGACGCATTTGTCTACGTCACAAAATCACCAGGGAAACTCAATGACGACACGGATTCCCACGGAAACCGGCCTTTCGCTTATTATACTTGAAAATTGTCGGACAAAGTTTTCAAAGTTTTCAAAGTTTTCATTGATTTTTGATTACCAGAAGACGAAAGGTCCACGCGTGCACGGTCGTTGTTGTTTCTTTCCGAATTTGAGATTTTCAGTTGTAGTGTCATGTAGTGTCATGGATCAGGCAAGAAAAGTCCGAAACGCAGCTGTGTTTCTCCTGACTTCATCATACTGGTTGTCCTTTTTGGGGCTCTTGACGACAACACAACACTCACAAGTCAACAGGCTCCAGTGGGCCGATCACCCACTCAAAAAAGCTGGTCCTTTCTCGACATCATTTTCTTCTCAGAAAACGCCTCGCTCTTCCGCCAGGTTCGGGCAGAGCAGACTCATCTTGAAAAAAAGAGGGAACAAAACAAACCTTGAAGAGACGAATGTTGAATGACTGCTCAACTCAAGCAACTGTCTTGAAACTAATTTTACTTGAAAGACATTGTTTTTCCGTCAAGCTTCACTCCCATCAGCGGCAACGCAGCCAATTTCCCCACGTCAGACGCAGCAGCGTCTGACGCTCAAACTTCCTGCGTTTGCGTCAGTTGCCATGGAAAAGCTGAAGATTCTGACGCTGATGCAGCATTTTTGCCGAAGTGTGACCGAGGCCTAAGCCATGCAAGCATACCAGTGAAAACGTTCAAAATGTTCAAGAGCCTCAACTGTGTCCCACTGTAGGTCTAAACATTTTCGGCCCATTCAAATTTTGGCCTCCCAGGGCTAAAATCCATTTCGGCCACATCAAATGTTCGGCCTGTACTGCTGCCGCCTGTATACACTGTCACAATGAACCTTGCATAACAAAATTTCGGCCAAACATGACCAGGCCGAAAATAAAAAATAAAATAAATAAATTTCACGGTTCGCGTGAGACTCAGATTCTCCAAGTTTTCCGCATCCGCCGTGGGAACGCCACCACCCTCTAGGATCAAAAGGCGCAGATGCAGCGCCTAAACGGTGGGAGGTGAGTAGATCAGACCCACCACCAAGTGGTCAAAGACCGAAATCCCATTAGCTGCATCCATGGCCGAAAATAGCCGAAAATAAATATGCGCCGAATATTTGTTGACTTTATAAGTACTTCTAAGCACCAATATTTGATTACTTCCTCCGCGTCATCGAAATTGTCGCAGTTTGACTAGTGACTTGTCACTTGTTACTGCAAACTCCACAAGCTAAGCCATTCAAAACTTATTACACAGTATGATAGTCTGAAGACTAGAGTAACGTTCCAGGACAGTTGGACTGAGAGTTTTCATGCAGAGATGAAGTCTTCGTCGTCGCTGATGTCAATGGATGCAAAAATTTCGTTCCGAAATATTTCAAGGAAGGTTGAAAGTTGGTCGCGCCTCATCTCAAACGCTTTGACTTTCTCCACAGGACAAGAGCTGCTATGCTTGTCGTCTGCTAGCTCTGGATGATTTCTACTTCACCACCAACGAAGCCTAGTAAGAATACACGATCGTTGCGAAGTCGGTTGATTACCGTCGGCGAAATCACCTCGATCTTGAAATGAACTTTTTTAGCCGTGGCAGGCCCATTTATTTTAGCTGTGTGGTCACAGCTCCTGCAGGTAAGTGTACTATCACTCACGTCCAGCGCGCCCTCTTTTTCAGCATCACTGCCCGGCCCTGATTCAGTGGTATACCATGGTACGGCACCTGCGCGTGCATCACTAGCACTACGTGTAGAGTCTACACGGCTCTTGCCGGTACAATCATGTACTGAGTGTCTCGGCCAGAGCGACAAATTTTATCGCTGTTGCAGGGGTTTAGTTTGCTGACCCCTCGATGTTTCTCCAAGCGCTGCCACTTACTCCACGAAGTCATACTCACCCCAACTAAGGTAAAACAGTGATGAGGCTTGAGTGAATGGCCATAAGCACGAGAAATGTGCGGGCTGCAACGCCTGACTGATCTCACCGAGTCGAAATTACCGTCGCAGCGACATCAGCGAAGAAATTGCGTCTAGTTCAAAAATTCCAGCTTGCAATAACAGAAAATAGAACTTTGCCGTCACCCTATACTGATGACCATCGTCTATGTCCAATTCCTTGCCTCTGGTACGAGTGCTGGTAAGTAAATACCCCGTTTTATATCAAAAGTCAAACTGCGACAATTTCGATGACGCGGAGGAAGTACAATCTAATGCCAGATTGAGTATTCTATTATCATAGTTGTACAGTGCTAACACCCACTTTCAGCAAGATTCACAGCACGTTTAAGCACACAACATTTTGGCATATAGCTCGTCTTCACTGCAGCATGCTATGTATAGCAGCTCTTTTACGTGACCTGAAATCCTGATCGAGTACTTGTATTGTCACCTGATGAAAGAGAACTGCTGTCATTTGCCAGTTACCACATTTGCGTTGTTCTTGATATTACCCCACATTAGCAAATAGATACACACATGTTCGGTTAGGTCTGGATAACCACTCAATTTCAGTTAGCATTGGGCAGTTTGTTGGTTGCTGGTTGGTGGATCTGACCTATCCTCCCCCACCGTTTAGGAGCCGCATCTGACGCCTGATCATGGGGTGGTGGCGTCCCACGGAAGCGGAAAGGTGGTTCTTGACCAGGGAGTTGTACGACTCCTTGTTCTTGACCTGCCCGGTAAGCGAACCCGTCGAATTTATTTTATTTTATTTTATTGGGCAGTTTGTTACATAATTCACAATTTGCCAGTTGGCATTTTAACATTGATATGTCAGAATTTCAGGAAATGGTTGGAATGCCCATGAAAACTGGACAAGCACATGCATTAATACAGGTCTCTGCATCCATGAAGGGCCATAGGAATTAATTGTTCTATGCTACCAGTTTTCGCTTCGAGCGGAATGAAAATGCGAGGCAGCCAGTCTTCGCCAACCTCCGCAAACGCGATTCTCGACATACGGAAATGTTCTAAAGGGCATAGGCTGATACTGTGACCTCGGCATAGCTAAAAGCATTCACCAAGGACAAACACTGGAAAGATGCACTCACCTCTCTTCTCCTAATTGCAAAGTATTTGCTATTTTTCTCCCGTACGTTTCCTGGTTATGGGGCTTGTAAATCTACGCCGTGTTTGGCCGCTCCTTCATCATGATTATCGTTGGGGCACTCAGAAACGCACGGGAGAAAAATGGCAAATACTCGTACCGACAGTCTTTGCAAGGCGAAGATTACAAATTGACATGAGCGGGTGGCACGAGGGTAACATGGATGCAGCTAATGGGATTTCGGTCTTTGACCACTTGGTGGTGGGTCTGATCTACTCACCTCCCACCGTTTAGGCGCTGCATCTGCGCCTTTGATCCTAGAGGGTGATGGCGTTCCCACGGCGGATGCGGAAAACTCGGCTTCCAGCCGAGTCTCACGCGAACCGTGAAATTTATTTATTTATGAGCGGGTGTGGGTGATACTCGAGCTCAAAAAAACAAACATTCAACAGTCGTTTCCGGAGCTGCGCAAAACTTGCGCCAGATTCCCAAGTGCATGCATGCGAGCGTTTATTTGCTACCCTCCTTCTGATTTCGGGGATGGGTAGGCACGCCATTCAATGCCCTTTCCGGGTATTACCGAACAAATGCAATCTAAACAGAAGCCCAGCTAGCTGTGCTAAAAGAGGCATGTCTACAGTAAGGGTTAAAGTTAAAGCACGTCTTTGAGATACCCGGCGACGAGAGCAGAGACCAGAATGGAAACTACAGAGAGACAAATGGGAGAGGAGGGGAGGCAGAAAGACAGATAAGCAGACAAATACACAAACAGAGAAACAGGCCTACTGGCAGACAGGTACACATGCAGACAGAAGACAGCAGACAAACGAACAGAGGGACGATTGGACAGACGGGCGGGCGGGCGGGCGGGCGGACGGACGGACGGACGGACGGACGGACGGACGGACGGACGGACGGACGGACGGACGGACGGGCGGGCGGGCGGGCGGACGGACGGACGGACGGACGGACGGACGGACGGACGGACGGACGGACGGACGGACGGACGGACGGACGGACGGACGGACGGACGGACGGACGGACGGACGGACGGACGGACGGACGGACGGACGGACGGACGGACGGACGGACGGACGGACGGACGGACGGACGGACGGACGGACGGACGGACGGACGGACGGACGGACGGACGGACGGACGGACGGACGGACGGACGGACGGACGGACGGACGGACGGACGGACGGACGGACGGACGGACGGACGGAATAGTGGTAGCGACATCGGCGATACTTTGAAAGGCAGGTTCGATGTGCTTCTTGTGTGCTCTGGATAGCAGGCGTGAGTCAGTCAAGTATCAGGTTGGTGGATAAAAACATGAGCTCCAGTGTGTTACCCACTGACTTCCTTATAATAGAGATCTGGTTTGAATGAATTCTATGTGATTTTGTCAAATGAAACCAGAGTGCATTATACTCGACAGCAGGTCTACAAAATAGTGGTGGCTAAGGCCGCACCGAACAAGTCTTTTGCTTCGGGCAACATGGCCAGAAAAATACCAGTCGGTCGGAGGCTTTCTATTTTTTGCTTACATCTTTATACACGCCAGATCTCTTTGCCAAAATTACTA